GTTTAGATAAATAAAAATAGATACATAAAAAAAGGATAGGTTAGATTTAGGTTAGGTTTAGGTTAGGTAGACTGATTTCGGAATTTGTATTTTTGAGAGATTGCACTGTACTTTGAATTTTATAGACAGATATAAAAATTATAGATATAAAATCTAGATATAGAAAAATTATAGATATAGAATCTTATAGATATAAAATTCTAGTAGAATTTCATAGATTCTTTCATGTCGTCACGTGCACCGCGTGCACAATTTTGAAATTTAAAATTTTCTATAAATTCGTCTGGTAATCGCTCCAGTCGTGTCCAATATTTCCTTGCGATTATCATATACGAAGCAAATCGAACACGTCGTTATCATAATGCATTCCTTCGCAAGTCTTACGATTCCCAAATCTATTATTTTTCAATGATGAATCAAGTTGTTGAATATTTAACTTTTGTTGGCCACGAACCTAAATATATAGAGCCTTCAACGCTTCAGAAACGTTATCAACTGAAATTATTAAAATTTACACATACACGACTATGATTCTCGATCCTTCGAATATCATATAAATCAATATAAAATTTAGTAATCCACTTACTAAACAAAAGTTTCATTATATGTATGTGAGAACTTTGTTGTATCATTGTATGTGTACTTCAAGTACAAGAAAAATGTGTTTAACAGTCTTAAAAGAACATTTTTATCTTTAATATACTATATTTTATATATATATGAATAAAATAATTAAAATAATAAAATAAAAATATTATATATATATATAATATAAAAATATTATAATCAATAAAATAAAAATATTATATACATATATATAATATTTTTATTTCTAATATTTATTTGATATTAGTACTTATCGAGTTATCAAAAATAATGAAATATACATTATGTATATTTTATTATACAATATGTATATAATATACGATATAATGATACAATATATTATATACAATATATTAACAGAGTTTTATATACTATATAATATATTATACTATATACAATATATTAAGCACGTTTTATATACTTTGTAATTAATTATGTCGTATTCATTGTAAATGTTGTATTTATTGTATGTAATTTATGATTTATATTAATAGTGATGTTTTTATTACACAAACATAGTACTTGTCCTGAAACTTCTGATTGACGGTGTGCATGCTGCATATATATTGTATACATTATTATAATTATATAATTTGTATAAAAATATATATATATGAGCTTCACACGCAATGGTAGATTTAATAAATGTATCTCTAGTATTATTTCATTAAATTTCATTTAATAATGCTAGAAAGTGAAATGCTGCTTCATCAACTTCAGTATCAAGATATCAGGTGGAAAAAAAATAATAATCGTATATTTTTTTTTTTTTTTT